GGTGGGCGGGTGGGTAGATGGCTAGCTAGACGGGTGGGAAGGCAGAGAGGTTGACGGCTAGCTGGCTAGCTAGCTAGCTAGCTAGCCAGGTAAATGGCTAGCTAGCTAGCTAGCTAGCCAGCTAGCCAGCGAGGTAAATGGCTAGCTAGCTAGCTAGCTAGCCAGCTAGCTGTGCGTATCCGAGCTGCGTCACAGTTCCAGACCGCGCGAACCCGCTCCCTCCCCCCTTGCGCCCTCCCTCTCCCTCCCCGCGCCCCCGCCGAGGGTTTAGGGTTTAGGGTTTAGGGTTTGTGGTTTGTGCAGGAGTAACGAGCCAGACTTCAGTGGCACTGCACCTGGGCAAGCGGGAAATGGTAATCCTGGGGACTCAATACGCCGGCGAAATGAAAAAAGGGATTTTGACTTTGATGATGTTTTTAATGCCAAAAAAGGGTTTGCTGCCGCTGCACTCTTCCTGCAACGTGGGGGCGGGGGGGGACGTGACTCTGTTCTTTGGACTCAGCGGCACCGGCAAAACCACCCTCGTAAACCCTAAACCCTAAACCCTAAACCCTAAACCCTGAGCCCTGAACCCTTAGCGCTCAGCCCGCAGAGGTGCCTTCGGCCTGTGCTGCTGCTCATGTCTTGGGTCTTGAGGGTCAGAACCACTACGCACTGCTCACGCGCCTGGAGTGCTGCTTTAGGGATTAGGGTTTGGGGTTTAGGGTTTAGGGTTTAGGGTTTAGGGTTTAGGGTTTAGGGGTTTCGCGTAGTCCGCGTGTGTTCGCCGGGAGCATGTGGGGGAAAACGACCGCAGCTGGTCGGATGTACTGGGGACTAGGGTTTGCTAGGGTTTAGGGTTTGGGAAGTTTCTTTGGTTTGGGGTTTAGGGTTTGCTAGGGTTTAGGGTTTGGGAAGTTTCTCTGGTTTAGGGTTTAGGGTTTGCTAGGGTTTAGGGTTTGGGAAGTTTCTCTGGTTTAGGGTTTAGGGTTTGCTAGGGTTGGGGGTTTGGGAAGTTGAGGGTTTAGGGGTTGGGAAGTTGAGGGTTTAGGGTTTGGGAAGCTGAGGGTTTAGGGTTTGGGAAGTTGAGGGTTTAGGGTTTGGGAAGTTGAGGGACTGGTCCGGAGCAGGGGTCTTCAACATAGAGGGCGGCTGCTACGCCAATTGCACTGCAGACTAGGGTTTGGGAGTGCTAGGGAGTGCTAGGGTTTGCTAGGGTTTAGGGTTTGCTAGGGTTTAGGGTTTAGGGTTTAGGGTTTAGGGTTTTGTTTATAGTCCACTTCTCGAGGCCGAGATTTACTAGGAGATGATGAGCACGTCTGGTCCCCCGCGGGCGTCTTCAACATCGAGGGCGGCTGCTACGCCAAGTGCAAAGACTAGGGTTTAGGGTTTGCTAGGGTTTAGGGTTTAGGGTTTAGGGTTTAGGGTTTGCGTTTAGTCTACCTCTCGAGGCCGGGATTTACTAGGAGATGATGAGCATGTTTGGTCCCCCGCGGGCGTCTTCAACATCGAGGGCGGCTGCTACGCCAAGTGCAAAGAC